AAAATGGCGGCGGGGCGGCCCGGCGGGAGAGCCCTGTGAGGAGGAGCCGGCGCCCAGGTGTCGGGTCATGCCTCCGCCCGCACGCAGGGCCCCGCTGCCGCCCGCCGCCGACGCGCCCCGCCATCCGCCCCGCCGTCTTGGTGCGGGAGGCGGGGGCAAACATTGCAAACAGGCCTCCGATTGGCTAAGCGGGCGAAGAACCCGCCGTCCCATTGGCTGCCGGGTCTGATGGGCGGGACAGAAAGGCGCTGATTGGCTACTTGGACAACGGGAGTGGAAGCGGGGGGGGGGAGGCTTGGCGTCCCGCCTCTCCCGCCTTCTGATTGGACGGCGTGGGGGAGGGCGGGAAAATACCCACCCCTCATTTCCTCACGTGGCGGGGAGGCGGCGCCATCTTGCCCCATGAGGGGCTGCTCCCCTACCAGCCCTCTGCGGCTTAATACAGCCACCCTGCCAGAGCCCGCTTGGCGGCTGCTTTCCCAAGGAAGCCGGTGCAAGACCCTCTAGCCAGGACCTTCCACTGTGTTGAAATTAAATGTATTATAAAATGAAGAAACAAAGTGTTAGCCAGCAACAAGACGCACGGCGCATCCCCAACCTCCTCATGGACAAAAGCCTCTGCTGGACGCGACACTATAACGATGTCTACGTTAACACGCCCAGGGTGGACAATTGGACTTCCCTAGCAAAAACAAAGCGCTTGGACGGCTGAAACACTCAACGCAGACCTGGTCAGCGATGACCAACCGCCTGTACGCGTCTTCCTTCACCATAAACCTCACAATCTTTACCGCACGTGTCCTCTCATAATTTTGTGATTTCTCTGGACGTTGGAAACGCGATCGTGGATGAGAAACGTTCGAAACGTTGACGAGGTCGAGTGCTGTTCGGCGGAATAACAAGTTAGACGAAGAGCCGAGCCATCGAATAACGGCAGGGTGGGCGAACTGGGCATCAGTGGAAGGAATATAAGATGAAAGGGGAAAGTCTCTGCAACGCGGAGACGTGGCCCCCGAAGAAGAAACTCGAGAAAGGAGATTGAACGGGACCAGGATGCGAATGCGCCAATGGACGTGTGAAGTGACGAAGATGGATCAAGCGGGGAATACCTGCATCAGAGGATCGGCGAACGTAGCAGAGCCATCAAAGAAAGTGCAAAAGAAGACGGGCACGGCATGGACGTGTTTAAAGGAGTCCGGGAGAATACACGGGGAAAGAAGTTACCGAAACGACACTAGCAAGGAGAAGAAGAAGAGGAGGAAGATGGAAGATGGGATGGGACGTGAGAAAGGACGAGTTGGAAGAACACGACGACACGTATGACTGAAGCCGGTGGCGAGCCAGGATTTGCAACAGCGACCCCGTTGAGATGGGACAAGCAAGGAAAGAAGAAGAAAATCCTTGTAACCCTGCTGTAAAGCAGAGAAGTACTATTGCATTTCATCTGCAACCCAAGTGCCTTTTCCAAGGTCTACCAAAGCCTGCCAAGTCTTAGGATTACACTAATCATGGCACCATTAGCTTAAACCAAGCTGTGCCTTTCTGCACAAGAGGTTGATCTCGATGTTACACTGCACAGCTGAGCGTCAGCTCTTGCATACGTTACTTCTAAACCACATCATAGAGGAAGGCCTCATCCAACATTCAGGCAGGGTCATAAAAATTGAAGACAGCAATACAGCAAGCTTCAAGAACCAGCCAAAGACTATAAATTAACTTTAAGGATATTCCTTCATGCAAACTCAGTTTTAGACTGTGACTAATGCTAATTGCTGCCTAATGATTCTATAAAGACTGACAACGAAATACTCTGATCACAAAATTAAACAGTCCCAATTAGCTGGGACTGCCACAAGCAGGTGCCTTGAAAAGAGAAACTGACCTCTGTCCTTGTGGCGGGACAGAAACAAGAGCAAGTGGTTTATGTGAATACACAGAGTTCAAAAGAGCTTGTAATCTCCCGCTATCACAAAGCGTCATAGAAAGATATCTGGAGCAAGTTTCAGTCCGTGTTGAAATTGCTTCTTCATTTTATAATGCAAGCAATCCTCGACTTACAACGTTTCAAGTTACAACGTTTCGCACTTACAACATTTATAAATGGACGCCGCTTCAACGTTCTGGCCTCAGTTTCGACTTTACAACGCTTGATCCGACACCATGCCAGCGAATAAGTTCGCTGCGGCGCCCATCTCCTGTCTGTCCCAACTTCCTTGGATACTTTCTTTAAGAAAGCAGGCAAGACTCCAGAAAAACCTGCAGCCAGGACTCCTGAGAAGACTCTAGCCAAGGACCCTTCAAAAAAACCAACCAGGAGCCCTTCAAAAAGTCCAGCCAAGTCACCTCAAAAAAGTCCTTCCAAATCAATATGATTGCTATTTGCAATATAACTACATTAATGTAGCTATATTACTCATCTGTAATTGATTTAGTACAAAATTCTGGGTTATTTTTGGTGAATATCGGGTATCGGACCTTGGTTCAGGAACCAGTCCCCCATTTATAACGTTGTTTCCTATGGGAAAATCGTTTCCGAGTTACAGGATTTTGACTTAAGACGCGGTTCTCAGGAATCAACTGTGTCGTAAGTCTGAGGACTGCCTGTACAACACTTAAAATGTTAGCCACCAACAAGACACACAGTGTAAAGGGGCGAGGTTTAATAGGAGTTAAGCCAAGTATCAAAGCAAGAATTGCTGCACAAGGAGAAAGGCGTAAATATTAGACCCAGCCTCAGTCATTCCTCTTTTGGTACTTCCTGGACTCAGAAGTGTGAACTGGAGACTCCTTTCCCCACCGGTGATACCTCCACACTGCCCACAATGTGGTCTTGAGGAAAGACTACAGCAAGGAACAGCTGGAGACCAGAGGTTTGTAGTGCAGAAATGCAAGCAGCCAAAACAGGGACCGCTAGAAATGTTCCATACTTTTAACTAGTTTTGGGTTCTCCTGCACTGAGGTACAATTTCCTCCAGTCCCTTCCCTCCTTTGACAAGCCTTTGACCCTCTTCTGCTGCAACATCTTCTTCTACCTCTCAGTGTCCACATACTCCTCCCTTCATTTATTCCATCTTCTCTAAACCCACCCAAAAAGACCCTGGAACTAATATAAAGTTTGCTGCCACGATATAATTCACTCTGTTACACCCCTCCATCCATCCTCTGCGTGTCTGTTTAAACTGCAAGCTCTCCAGAGCAGGAGTTATCCACTAATACTGTGCGTCTATCCAGGACCTAAAATAATGCAAATCCATTCTTGCATTAATCAATAATAAAGAATGAATCCACATGCAGACACGGCTGTTTGATGAGTAATTTGTTGCCTCTGGGCTTGTTGCTTTATAGGTTTGCTGAAATATGTGACAGCACAAACTTGAACTAGGTTCCATTAGATGCCTTTCAGCAAAACTTCTTGCCCAAGGCTACAAATTGAGAAAAAAAATTGGAGGGAGTGGAAATTATAGTATGAGCACTGTCTCTTTTCTTTCAGTTAGGAGTGCTCAGCCTTGAACAACCAATCACATATTTTGTAACAGACCCAGAGGCAGTTTCCAGATAAGCTGTCACAAAAGCAGCCAAAACAAGAGCTTCAGCTTGCCAATCAGTTTGAATGAAGAAAGTTAGATACAGAAATTCAAAAAAGGCAAACAGAATCCAGTGAAGGGTAATTGCAACAGAAGATAGGTGCCATGTCAGTCATATTAGACACTGTATAACTTGATAATAAAATTACAAACAGCAACAATTGCTACCAATTACTTATTTGTACAGACTATAAATTAGTTCAGATGATGTACGTTGTTGCTTTTGGCAAATACCTAGAAACTACAGAAAGTAGTCTTTGCAGTAGGAATGAAGTAGAGGGCATGAAAAAGGGAACATACCTGAAATTGTATCAGTCATGTATTTTCAGAGGGAGAATTACACAGAATAAATCCAAAAGATAGATAGATAGATGCATGCCATTTAAATTAATGCATGTACAACAATTTTAACTGCAAAGATAACATGCCACTCTTAAGAAGCACACATACAGATACAGGTGGCAGCACTTGATGCTCCTTCTTAGATGGATTTGTATTCTAGCAACAGTAGATTTTCAAATCACCCTGAACATTATTTACTCTTGAGGAATCTCTCTTTCCGAGTCACTTCAACAGCACTTCACTGTATTTGTTTAGAAGTGCCTCAGAACTTCAGATTCCCTTCTTCATGAATTAAACAACAATTTGGAGATGCTTACCTCATAGTGCCTGGCTTCACTGAAATTAGATACACTTTTACGGCTTGTCCAACCCCGTTTCAATTCCCTCTGTTGGTTCAATCTGAAACAGTGGTTTCTGCACTTTAACCCCCATAAGCAAACAGCGAAAGCCCAGAAAGTTAACTATCTGAAATACTAGAAAGGTTTTAGGGTGGAATTTGGACTATACAATATATATTACGTTTTTAGCAATTAGATTGGTCTTATCCTATTCCTTAACTGCATCCTAAAGTGACTCATCACTTTTCTTTTCACCAAAACAGGAAGTATCCCAGAATGCTATTTTTTTTTTCTCTATCGCCACAAAAAACCCTAAATTAACTCCTCAACATACAGCTAGTGAAGCAGAGAACTAGAAGATGGCTAACCACCCATAATACCTGAAATGGGTTGGTGACAATCCTGCAGTCTCTGCTACGGTTTCTTAAAAAGTATTCTTTTTAAAGAAAGATATTGAAAGGAGCCTGGCTATAAATAAGACAAAAGTACTCACATGCAAAAAAGATGAAACAAAAGAAAGGGAAATCAAAAACTTATGACTCCTGAGGAAGGAAACAGGCTGAACCAAGAGCCAAATTCTATGCTCATTCAAATCTCACGGTTTCCTGTTAATGCACCGCACCATCTGGAAAAGCTGTCCATCGTCATTGTAACATAATAGCACCTTCTAACATTAGGGATTTCAAATACTGCTCAAACTGTTAAAAGTTTTAGTTGAAATCACGAATTTACAAACCTGTTTGCTGAATGGGTTGAATTTGGCTTCAATTTCTAAGCATGCTGAAGCTTGTTTCTATTGAAACCTCATTTGTAGACAAGTGAAAATACCTTCCTTTCCCTTTATGAAACCCTCAGGGCAGTGTCTCTTGTGACACCTGTTCCTGTACGGTGACAAAACTTTATTACTCCTGCACTCTATTCATCAAGTCTTCTCCTTCCTAAACTCATTGCTCCAATTCAACAATTAATGCAAATGTCCCACTCAAGGGTGCTTTGAACTTGAGAGAGGGTTGGTTTGTTTTGAATCTGCACATGAATAGGAATAGCCACTTTTTAATCAGATGCATGGCATCCGATGAAGTGAACCTGGATTCATAAAAGCTTGTGTGCTGTCTCTCTCAGATTGATCTATCTTAGTCTATAAAGGTGCATATCTACCCTGCCTTCTGACTGACTTCAGTCTGACACAACTAACTACCTTTCCTTACTTTTTAATCACCATCCTTTTTATTCCAGGGATTGTCTGTACATAGCCAATTTCCATCACAAATGGGTCTGCTAACTGCTAGAGTCATTCACAAATTTTAGCAGCACTCATCTTTAGGGAAGGGCCTAAATCATTTAATATGTGATTTTGGGTGCATCTATCCTGCAGTCAAAAATGTAGCTTTAAATTAGTTGACACTGCTGGTAGCATAGCCGCAGTAGTACAGAGCTCAATACAGGTTCACTGCCCAAGTAGTTACACTGTAAAGCACACGTGTTTGCACTCCAGTCCTTGCCCAAGCCACCTGACTACTGAAATTCCCCTACTAATTTCCTGGGCCACTACAGCTTGAGCCTGCTGGCTGGGCTGAGATTTTGGGTCTGTATCAGGCTCAACTGCTGTTTGCACATGGTTGCAGCATAGCTGCATGTTACAGAGATTGAATATAGATGACCTTTCACCAGTACTCTCACAATCCCCTATTCCTTTATCTTCCAGAGGTTCTACCTTTCTTTCATCACTCCCTAACCTCTGGAAGGTGGGCGGCAAACTATACTGCCATGTTTAGCATTTGACCCCTCATTTTCCTCCTCATACATTCCAGATTTCCAGTATAACTTTTGCCAGTTAAACCCAGCTTTTCTAAGCTAAGCATGTACTCCCCAAATGTCCAAGTGCAAGGCTATTGCTGCAAAGGCCAAAAAAAAAAAAAGAGTACAATCAACACAGAGATAAAGAGACAGAGCCACAGAATTCAAGGTGCTAATGGAAGGAGTGTGAGCAGGGACATTTGGATTCGGTGCAGGCTGCAGGGCCAGGCTGCTGCAGTTTCTGTCATAAACTCATGAGTATGTGCCTCTTGCAATTTGCACATGCTTCATTAGGCACCAAAAACACTGCAAGCCTCCAATCCACTACTCCTTAAGGCAGTACCATAACCTGCAGACAAGTCAGGTGGTTCCCTGGGTTTTTGGCAACTCTTTTAGCATGGAGGGGAGAAGAAGCAAACCTTACTTACCCCTGTACATTGCTGCATCACAAGTGCAGGAGGTGGGAAGTGAAATAAGGTGGCTGCAGGCAGACATGCTCATGACCATACACACAAGCTGCCTGCATTTTTCCTCCACTTGAGTTTTTACAGTTGCTTTTTATGTATTTATTAGATCTCTATTTTCTCTATTCAGTTTATTATTAGAGTTGTATGCTGCCTTCCCTGAAAGAAGGTCAAGATGGCTTACAATAAAAACCAGATACATTAGACAAGACAGTTAAAAATATTAAAATAAAATAATATGTAATAAAAACACCGCCCCCCCACACCCCAGACCGTGCTCTGAAACATCGTCCTACCTGCTGATAAAGAAGTCTTAAAATGCTTCAGGCTCAGGTTCTGACAGAGTGAGGGGTGGGTAGAACTTGTAAGTAATTAAGGTGAATACGAGCAGAGCAGTTCTCGTTACGTTCTGTAGTCAGTCCATGCCATGTCTTATAGTTCCTTTCTTGGTGTCCTCATGACAAGGTATTTGACATGACCACGCTGTGAATGCTTCTGCTGCAGCCTCAGACCTGCAACCTCTAAACTGTTAACCGAGCACTTTGGCGCCCATGCCATCACAGCCACCCTATCTTTTAGTTCACAGATTCACCAAAGTTTAGGACTGGAAGGGACCTCAAGACCTCATCCAGTCCATGCCCCTGCTCTGAGCCAAGATAAAATAATCCCGGACTATCCCTGTCCTAATGAATTTACCTGAATCCAGGACATCTTTGAATTTAAGACAACCACCCAACAATCAGATTCTATACATGGAAAATTTGTAAATTAATTTTATTTTTCCAAGCATAGAATCTATCCATTGGACGGTCATCTTAATTCCCACCCCCACTACAATGAGGAAAGCAGTGATAGGGGGGCAGGTGGTGGGGTGGTAGATTGTCCCACGCCACCTGCCCCCCACACATTTACCCCCGTTGTGCCTGTCTGCTGCAGCCTCGGACCCCCACCCATCTTTCCCTTCCCCCTCCTCACACCGCTTCTCTGTCGTACTGCTTCTCTACCCATTCATTCCATATTCTGAATTTGATTTTTCTCTCCTAAAGACGAGTGCAAAATATTTCCCTTCTTGAATTTCACCGATTTCAGACGGTTTCTCTGTTAGGATAATTTTAATTCTAATCCTGTCCCCCAAAGTACTGGTAGGACCTCCCCTGTGGATGTTCTACCCATAAGCAATCTCTGCTCCATACTCCAAATTGTTGACGAATCCTAACGCCTTTCAGGATAATGCCATAGAGTTTCTCTCTGGTTTTCCAGTCAAGTGTCTTGTTCAATAGTTAAAACAAGTTTATTGACTTTGTTAGCAGTTTGTAGGTTCAACGGTGCCAGTCAAAGTTTTTCCTTTCTGTGAGGATGTGTGTGTTTAATGAAGTTCTGTGTTTGTTTAAGCACTTGTTGTTTTCCACTCAATTGGAAGGAAATGGAAGTCTGCAGGCATCACAGAAAGTGTTACTGAAGTTTATTTTAAAAAAAGAACATCGAACAATACACTCCAGATCATAAAATGATACCCTGTGTAACCAAACAAGCAAGTATAGAGATGCATTTAAATAAATATTTACTCAGGTGCTCCATGAAAATCAGTCACTTAACACAATTCATTAAGTTAATCAGGAAAATGCCCTGTAAATGTTGCAGTCCTCACTCCTCAGAAGTTAAAAAAAAAGTCTAACAAGCACTTTAAATTCCAGGTACCTATCAGTGCAACATGTTCTGTGGTATTTCACTATCCACAGACCACTATAGTACGTTACCAGTTGATCAGAAGGCAGGGTAGATTTGCACCGACCACATAGACCAGCAGTTCCCAACTGCGGGTCGTGATCCAAATGAGGGTTGGGGGGCAATGCCAGCAGCGCCACACACAAACAATGAGCCACACTGCGTGTCAGGAGCTTCCCTGCCTCCGGGCTACCGCTGCCACTCCTGCTGCACTCTGCTTCCAGCAGCAGGTCGCATCAAAAAAATAGTTGGGAACCGCTGGTATAAACTACCCAAAATGTTATATTATATATGAGTAAAATTGCCATATGTGACCTGGAGGTGAATATATATGGTGTGCCCCCCTGACCCACCTTGCCTCTGGATACCTATTGCTTAGGGAGTGCGTTCAGGTTCTGCAAACTGACTAAGGAGCAGATACAGGGTCCACTCCAGAAGTCCCCTACCTCTAGCCTTGTAAAACCTGCTCAGGGCATAGCAGGCCACAATCAAGACTGGTGTGCAAACAGTGTTAGAGGAAGCACTACCTGCAGTGTTCCAGGCACATGCTCCCACGCATTCTACCACTATCCTGCGACTGCTGAGAACAGAACTGAATTGCCCATGTGGTCCCTGGTTGTATGAGTTCAGGTTCATAATCTACAGCAGGAGGGAACAGGTGAAGTCCTCAGGTGCCCCATGCTACTGGTTTCTACTTCTCTGGGAGAGAATAAGACACCAGCATGCACATGCCAGATCTCAGGACCTTGTGCACCTGGCCACTGCTGCCTAAAGTGATGTTTGTGAGGCTGCCCCTGTGGTCCATCAAGACTTGCAGAGCCAGGGAGCTTCAGGGCTCCTTCAGGCACACAAAGCATGGGCATATCTGTGCCATCCCTTGCCCCAGTGCAATGTGGAATCCCCATTCTCTGAAAAACACCTCCTATTTCAGATGTATCCCTTGTAGGCCTTGCTAGAGAACTGGTTAAAATAACCCATTACTCAAAGGCTTTGCTAAGAGCATTAACCAAAGCAGGCCTCACCAAATGTCAATTGACAGCACTAGAGAGCTTGTGACAACAGAGCGTTAAAGTTGATCCCCTTAAGGCTGAGACAAGGATGGTGCCAGAGAGTCTAGAATACATCTGGTAATGGCAGGGGGGCTGAGGATTAGGATAATTTAGTAGTGGTGTGGATGTTTGCTATGTAGATATCTGTATAGCTACATACAATTGACTTGGTCCATTTATAAAGAGACTAGAGACCTTTGGCATTAGGCTAGGGGCCACAAGTAACTGTCTTACGACAGTGATGCTTCCTCAGCCTGACGAAGGGAGTTTGTACCCGAAAGCTTGCTAAGAAGAATTTTTCCAGCTATTTGAGTTGGTCTAATAAAAAAGTTATCGGATTTACCCAAAGAACCTTGTCTGCCTATGTGCTTAGACCAACACGGCTACAACCTACGCCCCTGTCTTACGACAAGCACTCAGAACTAACATCTTGTAACACTCTGGACAAGCATATTAGTCAGTTGGTGCTTTGTACATGATACATGACTGAGCTTTTTGCCAGCAAACCCATGGCAGGGGGGTGGTTTGGAGCAATGGGCATGACAGATGATTCCCTTCCAGAGCACTCATACACAGAGAATTACCCTGACCAAGACAGACCAGAGAAACAGCATTCCTGATGCCAACAACCTGCAGGGCCAGGTACAGACATCACATGTTTACCAGTATAAGTGATCGGAACCTGGGCTAATCCCATAAGAGAACAGAAATTCAGCACACAGACTGGTTTAAAAATAAGTAGAAGTCAGTCTGAGATTTGCCCCTCCACCAAAGGGCAAATGTGCATTCTGTTTGCTACAGATCTAAACTATGCCGCTTGCAGAAAACTGCGTAGCTTAGATCAAGTCCGCCTCAGGCTATTTGGATTCAGTCTGTACCTAGCCCAGGTAAACAACTCTCATAACACTATCAAAACCCCCACCCCCACCAGACAGACAGTTGATCTGCCAACACCAACTTGGTTGTCTTTGAATCTGTAGCAGTCTGAAACAGCCAGTTTCTAACCCACTTCTGTATTGGTATCGACTCTCTCGATTACCTGTGTACTCAGAAGGGCACACTCTTCAGACACTTCCACGAAGGTACATTTTCTCATGCAGAAGCTCTGGAGCCAGTACTGGCCATCCCATATAAACAAAGCCATACAAGCCCACCAGGCCACATAAACCGTTCTCCTCCA